TTACTCATTAAATGCTTATTTCTTGTAAGTGTTTGTAACTGTATACAATAACTGCTTTAAAGTTGCTGACTACAAATTTAAGTCATCTAAGGGTTGATTTATAGAGACTGGTTTTCTTTTGACTGTAGCTCACAATTTTACGTCTCATGTTGAGCATTTTCTAAATGCATGTTAAACATTGTGGATAAATGATAAAGATTATGGATTCATTAACCTTGATGCACTTGTATATCTTAAGTAAACTGTGTATCAGGAAGCCTCACTAGAACACAGTGCTTGTATTTGCTGAACTCATTCACTTTGACCTTCTCCTATCAATACATGCAAGAATGAAATTCACCAATTGAACTAGGCCATTCTCTTTTCTGGATTTCTACAGTACTCTGTGTCTAGACTACTCATGTTGTATTAAAAATGAGTTGCAAGTGGATTGCTAGCTACTCAAAGCAAGGCTCAAGTCTTATTTATTTATCTCTGCATCCCTAGCCTAAACCAGTGTCTGACACAGAGTTGGCATGCTTGTTATATTTGCTGAAATAATAAGCTAAATAATTAAAAGAGTCAGAAGCAATACAATGCTAACACAAAGTATGTCATTTATTTTCTTAGTAAGGACTCTAATGTAAAGAAAATAACTGAATATATTAAGTGCCCATGGTAAACATTTAAAGACTACATTCATGAGCATCAATAGACTATTATAAATCCAGGGAAAGAACTATGACATTTGAGAAAAAGTCTATCAATACTGATAGAAATGAGGCTCTGACACCTGAAAAATAAAGTTTACTTATTCATCATAGTTTATTCCCCGATGAGAATTAATAAATTATGTGTAAAATAACAAATAGAAAGCATGAAATTTAAGATGAAGAGATATGTAATTGAGGTAACTGTGGCTAACTTCTATTCTAGTCCTACTTCTGTCTCTAATTATCTGTGTGTCCTTGGGAAAGTCATTTAAACTATCCTGCAGTGGACCACTACAGGAGTGCTTACCTCACCTTATAGAAGTGCTATGAGTCAAATAAAATCATGATGTGAAAGACCTTTGTAAATTGTGAAGAGCTATAGAAATATTAGGGACATTTGGTTTCTTATTTGTTGCACAAGTCATTAGGACTGTTCACTGTTTACTATTCGTTATTTTCTGATCTTCAGGTTTAATAATTTCTGTTGCTCCATCAATAAGTTTGTCAACTATATTATACCAGCTCCAGGTGATTGTTAAACAGTTTAGTAAATTTTTCATTTTAATCTTCAAATCCAGATTTTGTTTTGAGATGGGCTTTACTGATCAGCCCTGGCCAATGTGGAACTCACTATGTAATAGTGTATGTAAATGAAATAATGCAAATAAAGCACTTCTTGCCACAATGACCATCACATCTAAAACTATCAAATGTTAGCTCCCTCTCCACAGAAACAACGTGTGCATACACACACATACATGAGCAAACTTATACTCACATATGTGCATACTTCAGCAACGGAAACAAAACTGACATGGTTTTTGCACCACTTAAGTATGTCTTTTTAAAAAGTTAAGTTCTGTGTGTCCTTCCTACCTGTATGCCTTTGGCTTTATTTTCTCTCTCCTGCCCACTTCTCTTCTCTTTCTTCTCCCAAGCATTTGTTAATACTTACTGTTGGGAGAGCTGCAGCTATTTATTCCTCTAATCAATCACACATTGCAATCATGGGATGCAAAAAAAATCAAATAAAATTTTCTTCTATGGTTAGAAGCTACAAAGCCTACCTACACTGTGAAGCTCTTATGGTGAAAGTTTTAAGGGCTGGACATGTGGAGCAAGGAGTAAAGTGCCTGCCTACCTAGCAAGAGCAAAGCCCTGAGTTCAAATCCCAAAACAAGCTGCCAAACAAACAAAACACCTTAAGGCTAGAAAAAGTGGCTCAAGTGGTACAGTGCCTGCCTAGCTAGCTTAAGGCCCTGGGTTTAAGCCCCAGTACTACCCCTAAAATATGTTTTATGATCCATAATAGTCATTTACAATTTTTTCTAAAAGAAATTTGAAATATCTTAGCCCTCAGTTTTATTTATCAATTTTTCTATATATGAAGCAAACATTTTTAAGGTTGTCAAAATTAACATCCTCACTATGGTTACAATATTTTAATCCAGTTTCCTTCAAAAGAAGAACTTTCCTTATTGCAGTTCTGTGACTTATTATTGTAAATATGTGATTAATAGTCAACCGAGTTTACAGAGCAAGTAATAAATGCTAGTAGGCAATTCTGCAATGGGGAAAAATAATTTCAAGTGTGCTCCCAGGATTTTCACCTCTACTCTGTTATTTTTTTCTGCTAGTTGACTTTGGATTAGGGAAGTCTATAGGGAATGCTGAGGGAATATGGTAAGACGTATCTATAATAAACTTTTAAATCCTTGGACAAAACCTTACACTAAATAGGTGTTCATACATTTTTTTCCATCCTAAGATATATTAGGCACCTACTTTTGTCAGGTTAACAGTCAGCATGGTAGTGGGAAAATAGAGCTGAATAAAGCACCTACCCAACACTTCTGGCTTTTTCAGGCTTGTGTGCCTCTGCTCAGGCTTCTTCCCATTCCCTTGATCACCCTCCGTCATTCTTCCCACACATCAATTGAACCAATACCATACAGTTAATTACATACCATTGCTCTATAAATTCTCCTCTGACCTCAATAGACTTGACTAGTTCTTTTTCTTTGAACAGTACCCCTGACCCCAAGCAACAATCCTGTACATGTGACTATAGCAATTTTTCTTTTTACTTCTTGATATTTTGTCTGCCTTCCCCACTGAACTGTGAATAACATGAAACTGAGTCTCTACATTAGTCACAGTTGTAACCCTAGTTCTTGGCACATAGTACTGACTGAATAGATAAATATGGTATAAATATGATAGGCATTTTTCCGATGAACAAAGGAGCCGAGCAAAAAAAAAAAAAAAAACACTAAGTGAATAGAGGTATTTGGAATGTGCAAGACAAGAAAATTAAAGGAATATGGGTCAAGGGAGATGTTAGGGATGATGGTGTTAGTGATCAAAACAATGAAGATGGTGAAAACAACCCCCAAATTAGCCAGCAATATAGGTATTATGAAAAGATTATAGGAGGCAGCAGCAAAAATGAATCACTGTTCTTGACTCACTGGGGGGATCTGCAGCTGACTCAGCACTGGATGATCTCTGACCACGCAGGCCTACGCACTCACTCTGCTGCACTCAAGCTGCCTCATCCAGTGAGTCAAAAGCCATGCAAAGGATGTAAGCAATTAACACCAGGAAGTATTTGTTCATCATGATGTGTTGTGGGGAGGGACAGGAATACTGTTTAAACATTTAGGAAATGGGCTGGTGGGAAGAGATGGGAGCCCTCAATAAAGACCATGATCCCTCAGCTTCTCAGTTTAGAACCACCCACATCTTACGTGTTTTCTAACTTAGTAAAATAGAAACAAGCCAATATAGGGAAAAATGGGTAAGTTGAAAGCATGCTTCTCCAAAAAAGTCTAAGGAGATGTGGAAGCAAATAGTCTATAAAAGGGGGCAGTTGGATCTTGTTTCATATTTCTGCTTAGATTTGAGGGAAAAATACTTACATCAGAGCAAATTCTTTTAGAATGTAATGAAAAAGATACATTAATATTTGAACTCAAATTTTAGTGAATAATTTCAAAGAGTTCAAAAGCCCTCTGACACTTACCATGATAACTATGAACCTCAGATTGAAACACCTCTTCTAGAAGGATATCAGAAGCTAGTAATCCAGAATACACTGATATGAACTATTATGTCATTCAACTGACACAACCTGCTATAAGGGGACATGTGAACTGGGCCCTTACCCTCCATCTTTGGACCTTCTCACATTGGGATCAGTATTACAGAGAAAATCATAGGTAACCTAAAAGGTGCTCGGTTTCATTTCTGTGACTCAAAACAGAAAAATAAAACTGGAAAATAAGGGACAGGAGCTAACCCAGGGATGAAATAACAATGTCTGTCATGTGTATGTGAAATCTATTTTGTCCATGTCTGTATCTCTTAGAAAGTATATCCCAGCTTCAACTTAGAGTAGACAGAAACTTTTGTGGGAATATTCACAAAACACAATATTCTCATAATTTTCCCCCTTGAGGATACAAAATAATGTAGCATTGCTATGTTTATTTTAATATAAATAAGTACTTGGAGAAGCACGAAGTTTGCACTGTTTACTGCAAGAATGGAATTTAATAGCATTTTATCTTGGACTCTGGAATTAGCACAACCAATACCTAAGAAAACAACTCCAATGTCACTGCAATTGCTATATTAGAATTAAAAAATCAAAAAAGCTTCCATGTGTTGAAAAGAGGAGATTGTTATAAAAATGTATTTGGATAAAAATGTAGTTACAAAGAAAATCAACCAATATGTTCTGTTCCCTGCTTAACCTCTAGGGAAGAACAGAGATTTTTGTCTTGATTACAGAATAGAAATATACATAGAAATGGATGCTGCTTAAGGAACAAATGTGATGGAATAATGAAAGAAGGGACCTTTTGTGCAAAGTTCTTTAGTGTTCAATTAATAAGAATTAAGAAAATCCTTTCTAAAATGACTTTTACAGAAAGAACTCTTGAGAAAGAAAGCCTCTCTTCTATACATGAAGAGAGAAATAAAAGCTGTTGTCTTTGCAGCTTATCTTCCTAAGATCCTAGCCACTAATATTTCATTTGCTTCCTCTCCACATCCCTTTACCAGACAAGGTCAAGGATTTGAGGGCCAGAGAGTTGAGGTAAAAGGGGACCAAGAGTTTTCAAAGCCAAAATCTTTAAACACAAGAACAAGTAGACTTAATCCATCTTGGAATTTTTTTTGTACATGGTGACAAAATATCAGAGCAGAAACCCTGTTTTCTGACATCCCTAGAACATGAAAAAGAAAAACGTTTCTATCTGTGGCATTTTTCTCAGCAGATGTTGTATTTGATGAACATGTGTATTGTGGCTTGTTTGTGAGCAGACACATATTACATTCAGCTAAAGTTGTCCTGACAGAATGACTCAATCTGTTAAGAAGTGATTCTACCCAAAGCTCTGTGTAGGGCATCCTTGACCTCCTTGTTTCTCAGACTGTAAATGACAAGATTCAGCAGAGGAGTGATGATGGTGTAGGTTACAGAGAGAAGAAGATCTTTTTCTACTGAATTTTCTGACTTGGGCTTAAGGTAAGCAATGGAGGCACAGCCATAATGGACAAGGACCACTGTGAGATGGGAGGCACAAGTAGCAAAGGCCTTCTTCTGACCATCAGCTGAGGCAATTTTAAAAATGGAAGAGATGATGAGGACATAGGAAATGAAGATCAGGCCTACCGGTACAAGAATCACAAATGAACTTACACCATAATTGATTATCTCATTGATAGTGGTATCATCGCAAGAAAGTTTCATGACTGGGTAAATATCACAGAAGAAATGATCCACCACTGTACCACAGAAGGATAAATTGAACATGGCTGTCACATGAAGAACTGCCATAACTAGACCAGTGCTAAAGGATCCACAAACTAACTTGACACACATTCCTTTGCTCATGATGACTGTGTACCTCAGGGGCTCACAGATGGCCACATAGCGGTCATAGCCCATTGCTGTGAGCAGGAAGCAGTTGTTAGTGGCCAGGGTGACAAAAAAGAACATTTGGGTTGCACAGCCTGCCAAGGATATGGGCTGGTTATGAAAAATGAGATTGGAAAGCATTTGTGGGACAATGACCAGTGTGTACACAGTCTCTGAACTAGCCAGCATGCTGAGGAAGAAGTACATGGGAGTGTGGAGGTGATGGTCATTGTAAGTGAGAGTCACAATGATGATGTTACCAGCAAGAGTAAAAATGTAGATGGTTAGGAAAACTACAAAGAGGGTTATTTGATGTTTTCCAAAGCTAGAGAATCCCAAAAAGATGAATTCAGTCACTTCTGTGAAGTTCTTCATCTGTATTCTGCTATATCAGTGTCTGAAACCAGTAAAAGGAGTCATCAAGGAGAATTTTCTCATCAACAATTGAACATCAAAACAAGAACTATTGATAGATGAACTGAATGAGCCTAATTCCCTCCTTTATTTAGAGTTCTTGCACATGAAAAAAGAAACTTTTTTATGCCTCTTTGGTAATTATACATAGGAACATTCTTAATGATCACCATAGAGCAAACTGTTTCCTGTACAGGGAGAAGACTTCTGAGTCCATGTTCACCTCCACAGACAATATAGTGATGTCTAGAAGCAAAAGGGGACAGTAAAGAGAAAGCAGTACTCTCTTCCAATCAACAATGATATTTACCACTTAACCCTCTTAATAAAAAGGAACACTAATAAAGTACATGTCAAGAAAACAACAAAGATGAGTACTTGTGGACAAAATGAAGTTGCAGTATGAAGTGTTCAAGGAAGATACACTTTGAATAATAATTGCTAAATTTTGTGACATGGTCACCAAAGACCTTTAGACAGTGTTTCAGTTGATTTCTGAATGCAAAATCTTGATTTCAGAGAAGTAATATGGACCAGACATGCCATAACACTCTAAAAGCGACTACAAAACAACTGCAAAACAACTTCTGCCATAGTCAAGCCACTGGAATTGATCACTGGAGTCCACCAAAGAAATCCTTTCTCTCTGATTCCAGTAGTCCTTTTGAGTTAAGTCAAGAATAAAGAGTTGTGATTGAGAAAACATTGCTTAGCTTCTATGGTAATAGGAAAGGATTGAGACAACTTGAGCTATAAATAGGGAATATAAGCCCCACAGTTGAGATGGGTGGAAGGAGTCTATTAGCTGTTTGGAGCCCAACTGACATCTGTTTTTAAAATCTGGTGAACAGACAATTTGATCTAATTATGGAAAGCTGAGCACACTATTCTCCTTTGTTAAAAAGAAAGCCTATACATACTCATATATAACTGTATGGAGAACACATAGCTGATTTGTGGTTCTCTAAAGCAGTCATTTCGTCATTCGCTGAAATTACTGAAATAGACCCTCCATAATTCCTTGCAAGCTGACTTCACCATGTTCATGTTTATACCCAAGAAATTGTTTGCTCAAATGTTACAGAAGTCCCCACTTTTGAAACTGTCAGACTTGGCTATTCTCCTCTTTTTCTCATACTTCTCTTCTTCATTTGACACTTCTGACCCCTGCCTCATGGAAACACTCTCTAACCTTGGTTTCCATGATACCACATTACTTCTCTGTCTTCCTACCACTCATTTAGTTACTCTCCACAAATCTTTGTATTCCACCCATACCACGATTACATAAACTGTACTCTGATAAGTCCTTGGCCCTTACTTTTTTCTCTCCATGTCCTCCCTCTCAATTTTTTTCTGTTATTTCTATCACCAGTCTTTTTCACATATTTCCAATTATCTCTCTTGACTTTTCTATTTGTGTGTTTTGCAATCATAATAAATTTTATATTTTTGAAAACAAACTAAACATCAACCATTCCCAACTTTTGTGTCTTCCTCAATGACCTCATAACATCTTTCTAGTCAACCAGTCTCACCATTTTGGAACTACATCTACTTTTACATCACACCCAGTAGACTTTTTTCTTTAAGTTTATTTCCTTTCTGTCCTAATTTCTAGATTTACAATGACCTGCTTAACAATGACCAGTTGGTCATGGTGGCACATTTCTGTAATCCTAGCACTCAGGAGGTTGAAGCAGGAAGGATCTTGAATTTAAGGTCAGTCTAGGGCTACATAAGGCTATATAGGGCTACATGTTTGTCTCAAAACAAAAAAATAAAATGTAGACCTCTAGCCAGGATAGTAAAACATATTTCCACTCTAAAATTTATATGTAAATGCAAATGATCAAGAACATCAAAGCAACTTTTGGTTTTTGTAGTACTAGGGTCTGAACTCAGGGTTTTGTGCTTACAAGGCAGGTGCTCTACAGCCTGAGCCATGCCTCCGGCCTCCAAAGCAACTTTGAAAAAGAGGTACAAGATTAAAGGACTCACCTTACTTCACTTAAAGACTGTAGTAATCAATATGGTATGAGATCAGTGCAAGGATAGACAGTGAAACAAAATACAGACTCAAAAACTAGAACCTTAGGCTGGCAGAGTGGCTCAAGTGTTAGAGCACCTGACTAGCAAGTATGATGTCTTGAGTTCAAATCCCAATGCCTCCAAAATTTTTTCATGCAAAAATAGAACCTCATTTGTATGATCAACTGAAATTTTATGAAGTGCCAAACTATCTCAATGATAGTATTTTCTACAACTGTTGCTGGAACAAATAAGTATCTATGTGGAGAAAAATTAAACCTCAAATTTCACCCCATGACACATAAACACACAAAATAAATCAAAATGAATCACAGATACATACAAAAGATAAAACTTTTAAAATTCTAAGCAAAAATAGATGAAATTTTCATGACCTTGCTATAATCAAAGGATAGCAAAGAATTCAAAGGATACCAAAAACATAAATCATATAAAACAATATCACAAATTGAACCTTGTCAACATTAAAAGCTTCCACTCTTCAAAAGACATAGTTAGAAAAAAGACAAGTCACAGCCTAGGACAAAATATTCACAATACATATATCTAAAATTCTATTTAGGATGTATAAAGAATTTTTGCAATGTAAGACATGGTTTTCAATAGGAAAAATATTTAAATAAACATTTCCAAAAGAATATATAGAAATAATAATCACACAAAAGAGTTTTCAACATGATTAGCCATCAGAGAGATCTAAAATAAAACCACAATGAGACACCACTACACATCCACTCTTAATGACTAAAATTAAAAACCTAACAACACCTAACATTGTAAAGAAGTGAAGGAATTAGAGTCTTAAATATTGCTGGTGGAAATGTAAAATGGTAGAACCAATTTGTAGAACAATGTCACAACTTTTTACACAGTTAAATCTATACTTAACACAGTATTTTTTTTCTAAGTATTTACAGAAGAGAAATGAAAATGTGTCCACATAGAGACATTTATATGCGGACATTTCTAGCAGCTTCTTCCTAAAAAGAAGCTTCTTGCCAAAAACTGCAAACAGCTCAAATGTCTAAATTATGATATATCCATATAATGAAATATTGCTTAGCAATGAAAAGAACAAATTAATTCAAACAACAACATGTCTGAATCTTAAAGTTGTTATGCTGAATGAAAGAAGTTATTCACAAAAGAGTTAATACAGTATAATTCCATCTGTTGAAAACTATAGAAAATTTAATCTATACTGCTAGAAACAGATCTGCATTTGCCAGAATTGCTAAGGAACTGACCAGAAGAAAACACAGGGGAGGTTTTGGGGATGAGGGAAAAGCTCTTGATTGTGGTGGTGATAATATAGGTCTATAAATTTATCAAAACTCCTCTCTCTCTCTCACACACACACACACACACACACACACACACACACACACACACACATGATTTTAGTCCTGCAAACCTGTCATTCCTAGACTTACAATTCTTTGGGTAGCCTAATTATAATTTAAGAAACATTGGAATTATCTGGAATGCAGAAAATTTGGAATTTGATCTGGAGGCTGACAATGTTAAAACATAAGGTCTAGGACAAATCCCTTGTTTCTGTGTCTCTATGGCCTCAACTGCAAAGTAAAGGGTTAAACAGAATGTGTCTGAGCTTTAATACATCAGTTATATATCATGTTTTTTTACCTGGGAAATGCATCTTTGCTGGGTTGGTTGGGTCCTGTGTTATCAGACCATTCATACAGTATCAATTCACCTTCTGCATTACATCTTCTTCCCAGGGTCTAGGAACATTCCAATACCCATTGCCAAATCTGTATCTATGTTCATATTTTTCTTCTTGCCTAGGAAGTTCTTCTCTTCCTGCTGCCCACCCAGATTCTAAATCCTTGGTGCTTGGAAATACATCCCCACCACTCCTAGTACATTCTTGACTTAAAGCTTTCAAATGAAATCATGTTCTCATTCTTGGCTAAAATAGAGAATTTTAAATCTACCAAACTAGAATAGATGTATTTTTAATTTTTAATTGTTTCTTAGAAATATTTCAAAACCGAGATCATTGCCTATCACTTCCATGAAGTCTTCTCATAACAACCCCATTCCTCACTTCCAATCCTTTCATAAAGCCTGTACCTAGTGGTGTGCCAGACCATGCTTGCAACACCTACCAGCATAGATTGCACTCATCACTTCCCAGCTCCATATTCAGTAATTTCATGTTGGTAGGCTGAAATCTACTATGGATAAATAATATCCATAATAGCTCCATCTCAGAAATAAACAAACACTGAAACTCAGGACTTTTTCCCTGAGAGCTGGCTGTTAAACATTTACTAACACACCACTCAATTTATCCCCACACCACATTTGGTAGTTTAGTCCATGCTATATTGCAATGTTGTCTATTACCACTTTTGTGTTAGTTTTATTTCCCAAATTAGATTGTAAGGTCTGACAAAAAACATGCCAACACTTCTGTGTCTTCTGGACCCTTCATAAAATGCACTCAAAGAAGCATTCAATAAGTACTAGTTGACTGAAGAGTATGAAGAATCTAGAATTCCCATTGCAATGTAATTGGAGTGGTTTGCCAATGGTACAGAGCAGCCTGCCCACGATTATAGTGGGACTCAAACAATGAGGCATGCTTCTGTGCAGTATAACGTGGTAAACTGCTGTGCTTTTCTTTTCAGCTCTTCTTCAGAGAATCTAGAGCAACCTTGGTAGGGGAAAGAAAATGCTGTAAGAGAGAACAAAAAGTCAGTTCAGCTAGTTTTGCCTTAGTAAGCAATGATTTTGGAGCCGAGACGACACAAGGTTCTGAGTAGTCAATAGGTGTCAGATCTTTATTAGCTGGTTTTTTAAATGTCTAGACACTGCTAAGTGTTTACTGTCCAGATTGAGAGATCACAGTAGGGCACAATGTAAGCAAATCATCTCTATGCACCAACACTACCATCACTTCTGTCCTCTCTTTTTCTTGTTATTGT